GAGGTCTCTGCTCATAGCTTCATATATCTATTTTATTGTACGTTTAATGGTTTTATATCCTGTGTGGAACAAAAGTAAATAGAGCTTAGCTTAAGTATAATCATACGAGCTTCTTTATTGCCAAGCTTATATTTCTCCATTCATTATACCCTTGATGAAACATCCCTCTGCCTCATTTGTTCTCCACTCTATTAACTTTGAAGTTTAAAATGTCAGAGGAAACTCCCTTCTGGTTCAAAGCATCCTATCAAGTAGTTTTGACCAAATGGTAGCAAATTACCATCCATCTGAAAACCACCTCTTTTTCACAACTGTTTCATCCATCCATTTTCATCCGCTTATCCGTTACCGGGTCGCGGGGGCAGCACCGCCACCCGCCACCCAAATCACATTGCACCATACCAACCCCTCTGAACCTTTTGCGGGTGGTAAGGCCACTGGAAGGTACCAACCACCCTAACCGGGGTTCGATCTTGCCCAGGAGATCCATCCATCCATTTTCGTCCACTTATCCGTTACCGGGTCGCGAGGGCAGCAGTCGTCACCGAAATCACATGCACCGTACCAACCCCCTGAACCTTCCTGCAGGTTTTCATATACTAATAGTGCTGATAACGATAACGATATTAATCTGATACCTTCTTTCTCGCCCAGCATGCTTTGGTCTGTTGTTGTTGAGGATAGTGTCCCTGTTTATGACGTCACGCAAAGATAAGTTAAGCATTTGGTCGGGCTATAGTTGTTTTTCCGATGTTTTATCCTGAAATTCTGAACAATATCAAAACAATACCGATCTAGAGTATCGTTTCGTACCTTGTATCAAGGTATGCTCATCAAAAACCTAACAAAAAAAGTGATGACTTGCAACAAAATCTTCCCTTAGAAAAGTTATTTGTCCTGAGCCTCACTAAGATGTCTTTGTGTTGAAATGTAAGTGCGTATAACCGTATTTTCTGGACTATAGGTCGCACTTTTTTTGGGCTGGGTTTGTGACTTATACTCAGGTACGACTTTACATATTAAAATATGTAATTTCACACGTTATTTTCACACTCACAGCTGCTAATTCTTGCTGGCTGGTGTGACTTATACTTTAGAGCACCTTGCAGTGTATAACTCCATTCGTCCATCCATCCATTTTCATCCGCTTATCCATT